CAGTGACACAAATGATTTGGGCAGCATGAGGAAGGACAGTTTATTTGGCTCCCAATGAGATCTATGTCTGAGAAGAAGTGCAGTCTCTCTGCCATCACGCAATTGGTGAATTATCATCGGTACCTAATATCAGCAAATGTCTGAAAAAGAACAAACATATAACGGAGAAAGTTTTGGAAGTTTGATCAGTTTACTTGATGACTTTATAACCACCTAAAATTACAAACAGTGGACAGAAAAAGTGGACACACCCCTAATAAAATCCAAGGTTTTTGTTATGGAGGCCACAAAATATTCAGCTGAACAATTAAGATTCAGCTGTCCTCAGTGTCAAAGGGCTATAATTTTGAAAGGTTTAAGTTAGAAAATAAGACAAAATTAGATTGGAAATAGCATCGGGAATATCATAAAACATGAGATAGTCCTAAAAAAGAGGTGACAATATTGGGCAGCAGTGAGAATTGGCAAAGAATTGGATGTTCTACCAACAATGATGAAACGCGTCAGAGGCCAGCAGTCCTGAACTGCTATGAAAGAACTGGTAGGGCTCTGGATTTAACCATCTCCTATTCTTTGCATTTATCTGAGGGGAGGGTTCCAAGAGGGAATCCCTCTTTAAAAAATAAAAGCACTGATTTGCAAAAACAAAAATTAAGTCTTCAAAATCAGATGGAAAAGTGTTTTATGGCCTGAAGAGATCAAGGCCTAACTTTGTGGTTTTAATTCCAAAAGCAACTCCACAAAGCATGGTGGTGGCAGCGTCATGCTTTGGGGTTACTTTTTAACTCAAACTGGGGCTTTAGTCAAGATGAAGGGAATTATGCACAGTTTCAAATACCAAAAACTAGAAGGGCTGAACTCAAGAGACGCCTTCAAGTCTTGCGGAATCTGAGCATTTTGAAAGTCAGTGTCATGTGATGATGTACCTTGCTGATAAATCCCACCAGAACACTGAATACCGTCATGCTAAGCGGTGCTTCAAAAAGGTCTTGTTTTAAAAGTATTTTAACTCATGCAACTATCTTATTTTATGTTTTTTTTCCATCTGTGATCATTTTCTTTTGACAATTTTTGTCACAGAACTGTCAACGTTACAGATCACAATAAAGGCAGGAAATGTTATAGGTTTATTTTTAACATAGAAAACTCTGAAAAATTGGAGGGTGCGTTCTTTATATCCACTGTATGTTGTGAAAGCAGCAATGCACAGGATCTTTTTTTTTTTTGCTTTAGTTATCAAACGAAATAAAATGTAGATTTATCATTCAAACATTGTAAAAAGCATTTGCCTTTACACCTCAAGTCCTACGGAAAATACGAATGTATTTACTGTCCCCCTAAAAAGCGCACAGTATATTCATTTAGCCCTAAAAATGTAGTTTTAGAATCTGTCATTATCAGATTCTTGGGACATAAGTGAAAGCACTTTTTTTCCTCTGAATTTATCATTTTATTTATTTTTTTACCAACATTTAAAGTACATAATTTTAAAGAAAATAAAAGAAAAACTATGGAAGTGTTACAATGCTGGGAAAGTTGGTTTGTTCCATGGAGGAGAAAACTTTAAGTTATTGCTCCCTCTAGTGGTAAAATGGAAACTAGACCATCTGTGTACCTCCTAGCGTGTGATCAGGATCCACCTCAAAGACTGGAATGAATAGATAAATAGATTAAAAGATATATGAATAGATTATACTATTTTAAAAACAAAATCATATGTGTTTGTTTCTTGAAAACATTCAGTTAAAGAGTGAAACAAAGAGCTGAAACTCTTCCATCACAGTATTTGCCATAAAGTCTGGATGATTCAGAAGTCCAGAAAACACAGCGGCTGATGCCGTCACTTTTGCTGTGGGAAGAGTGTCAAGCATAAAAAATATATAATATCCAGTATATGAACTCCTGAATGCCTGTGTACACCCTAGCAGTGACATCAGTCAGAGTTTCAAACAAACCATGAAACAGTGGAGTTCATACCTGCAGAGGATGCCTGACAGAGGAGAAGCAACAGTAGCATCTTCATTTAGGAGGTAGCAGGGGGAGGGGCAGAGACAGAAACCTAATCTGATTTAGGCATAATCAAACGTATGTAGTTTCAGACAATTTATGACAGTCTAATTCATACAGTGATTTAATGGACTAAACTATTTAATCCTTTATCTATATTTCCAGCTTAATGTGAAGAAGTTTCTTATTGTATTTTCTTTTGAACCTTAAAACTGGTCTGATCTTTTTGTTTGACACTTCCTCGTTGTACCTGGCCCGGGCATGTTCTAAATTTATCTTCATCAGATATCTCAAATATCTTTCCAGCGAAAAACCTGCCCAACCTGAAAGCTTTCTTTCATTTTCTCCAATCAGGTTGCGTCTGTTGATCCCTCTGACGGCAGACAGCTCAGGGATGATGTCAGGACCTCTGAGCTCCATGATACACTGCTGATTCACCAAATTAATACAACAAAAGACATTTCAAATAGAAGGACAGAAAACAATCTAGTCTTGGTGAGTCAGCACTTATCCAGTCACAGGTATAATCATGAATCTGATGAGTCATCAGTCATTATTGTTTGTAAGGTACTACGTTACACTTGGTTCAAGTTAAAAAATATACGTAGATCATTTCTACTTTTATGATGTTGAGTAAGTCTGTTTCTTCTCACCAAATGAGCCTCAGGCGCTGACTCCATGAAAGGCATCTTTATGTAGCAGATTTGTTTAATCCTGGTTGGTCTGATGAATAAGGTATGCAACGTCCCTGAACACTTCTGTCTGGACCACTAAAAACTGATTCTTAAACTCTGCATATAATTCGGCAGATTAAACTGCTGTATAGCTATCATATATTTTCAGACATTTGACAGAATAAGGAGTTCTGTGTGCCTTCATTATTTAATTGCATTTCAGGTTTATTTCAGAATCTGATATTTAAAGGGAAAAACAGCATCCTTTATTTTCTGGCTTTCAGTTCCTCAATAAGTGTGAGACGTTAACCAATCAAGTTAGAAAGGATACCTAACACAATAAAATGCCTTATTGTTGGGCCTGTCGTGGTGGAGGAGGGTTTGGGGATTGCTGCTGTTTTAGGTTTGAGTCCTCTGCTTTGTATATGAGAAATGCATAGTTCAAAGAGTAAATAGCTATAATATATATAATTTCAGAAAAAAACATAATTCTAAATCAGGTGTAAACATTTGCACAAAAGCATTAGCCATCTTTTTAAAGTTAAATTCTGCTAAACAGGTATTGATAGCTCACTAATGTTTTTATCATCTTTAAAATCTGTCACAGGACAGTTTGTTTCATTTCTGTCAGCAGACAGAAATTCCCTAGTTTAAATTAATTGGGTAAATTAGGGAAATTAATTAGTGTCAAACTGTAAATAAAGACACGTTAGGATTTAATGATATTTTATTGATTTAAATATTTATAGAACATATCAAGCATAATTAAACCTTACATTAAATCCTATAAAAGCTTTACAGGATGAAACATTTCAGCCTTTAAAACCCAGTAATAGCATTGTTCACAAGACCTTGCTATGGATCTAATTTATTCAAATAAAGCAACTTTTAAAGTCACCTTAAACTACAGTAAAGAGTCAAAAAAAATATATATGAAAAATCCAAAGGTTTCAAGCTCTTATGTGATGGTTAAACCCTTAAAAAACCCATGAAAAACACGCTGAAAGACACACACATACATTTTATATGTAAAGAAGCAGTGTTTAACAAACAGTGACATGTTCAAATTCTGAAGGACATTTTGATGGTCACAATGATGATGATGGTGATCAGAGAAAAATAATCAATTTAAATTTGTTCAGCTGAAGCACATTAAATTCTTTTCTCCTGACATTTTGAGTCCTCAGTTTTATTTCTGATGAATGCATTAAATAGAAAAAAATTTGAATTGGAGTTAATATAAAGTCCATTTGATCCAAAAACAAATACTGAGGTTCATTTTGGGGCCACTGATCATAAACCAGTTAACTCTGTATAAAACAACCAGAAAACACAGAAAATGGATAAAAGTTCTGTTCATACAAGTAATCCTTACATGAAGGGTCTGGTTTGAGTTAGAATGATATTTACAAATAATTTGTAAATTGTTTAAAATAGTTTAAATAAAAGAAAAACATTTGGGGGTATAAGTCTGTATGTATTCAAGTTTTCTGTTTAATATTGGCATCTACACGTGGATAAATAACTTAATTTTTAGTTGCATTTGTCTTAATGATTCCTTTCTCCAGTCTGGTGGGGCTCTATGAAGTGGTTGGTCTTTAAGAGTTTGCCAAAAAAATAGAAAAGGACGCTGCTGTTCTTGTAGCACTTGGTAAGTCATTCCACAATCTTGGAATATCTTGGACCCATATACATGTTGCCTTTGTAATACAATTATACAAACACAACTATCTGCAGATTAGTTCTTATTTCATATATATATTGGGATGTTTTCATTTTATTACATTTTTGATTAAAAAATTTCAATTCCCGTGATTTTCAGTAAATACACATTACTAGCATGATTTAAGTTTTACTCCCCTCAAAGGTAAAACATAAATTAATTCATGGTTTATACAGAAGATGCCGGTAAAGTCTTTCATTTAGTGCAACTTCATCCAAAAAACCTGGAGACACAAAAATATTTTTTTTAAATCACATAAAATAGAGATGTAAAGTTAATAAAAAGTTTAATATATGATCTGGAAAATCAAAAACAATAGCTATGAATGTCTGCATGTACATTTTTTTTATCCCAAACCAACAAGATTTCAGCTAAACCATATTATGTATTATTCTGCTATCTTTATTGGTTTAATTCCAATGTAGAAATAAAAAAAATCCTCATGCATTAGTTTAATCTGTTATGTGAAACTTAAACTATTTAACTCCTTCAAAATCTCACAGAAGTGAAACTGTGAATAATCACTATCTTTTCTAGCCTCCGTCAGCTTTGTTTAACACATGAATGAACTCACCGTGCTCACAGCTGCTTGTTTTTCAGGCCTTTGGGATCATTTGCTCCTGAACCTCAGCATTTTCTACAGCTGGAAGGTCAGAACAGAGTTATATAAATCCTGAATCTTTAACAAAAAACTCACAGAAACAGTCCTGAAAACACTGCTCAGCAGAAAATATGAAATATGTATTTTCTTTTCAGACGATGGATGAAACAAATGTTTTACTTACGAGATGGAGGGCGCTTGGCTGAAATAAAAAGAAAAATTCATGTGTTCAGACATTTTCATACACATCATGTGTTACATAATTTAAATTGAACTAAATTGTTTAACTCAAACTCTTGAATGAAAACACTGAAAAAGGACAGAAAAATGTGTTGGTCTCTCACCGTCCTTCTTTCTGTAAAGAATGAATCCGATCACAGCGATGACGAGGAGAAAAGCAGCGGCAACAATGATGCCGATCACCATGGCAACGTTACTGCCTGCAAACAACCAAAGATGAGATCAAAGCTATTAACATTGAGGCCTGTTTTGTCCTGTATGTGTTTATGACGTTAATATCTATTTTAATGTTTTATCTGAACATAATTAAACTTTTACACTAATTACTTTTGTCTGAATATGAAAAAGAGGAGCTTCTAATTATTAAATTTTTTCATGATTCTGTCAGGGAGCTTTAAAATGGAGCAAAGCTTTGCTTTAAATCAAAATATGTTTAAGTGGAAATATTCTTCCATTTGGGCCATTTGAACAGTTCTAACGTGATGCTGAGCTCACACTTCAAGTTGTGAAGAAAAGATTGATAGAAATAATAAATGATTATAGAAGATTTTAGATCCTGCATTAAAAATACTTAATGGAATAACTATTTCACAGAACATTTTTTTTCCCTTCAGTTAGACTTCATTCTTACCTGCATTGGTCTTAATTATTTCTTTCTCCAGTCTGGTGGGGAGGTCTCCTGTGTTAGAGAGCTGAAACACACATTCATACTTCTTCCAGTCTTCAGCTGGAACTGATGAAACATCCAGGTCAGCACTCATCTGGAAGGTTCCATCATTGTTGGGGAGGATCTCTCCTTTGGTCACTCCTTCATGGACCTCCTCTCCATCTTTCCTCCAGAGCAGCTCAGCACTGCTGGGGTAGAAACCTGTAGCATGGCAGCTGACTGGAGAGGAGGGAGTCCTCTGGAGGAGAGACACTGAGGGACGCTCTGAGGGGAGAAGAGGAAGGATGAAGCTTCTGAGTCCTCATGAACTGAAGATGACCACAATGTTGTGAACAGGAAGTACATGCCAGGGGTCATTTGTTCCTGAGATTAATTTAAAACATGTCAGACCAAGTGGAATGAAGGCAGGGCTGAGTACGGAAACTCGGTTTTGTGGCACCGACCAAAATGTTTCAGTAGTACCTCATCTTTTGTTGCCAGGTTTTGGTACCCAGAGGTTAATACCTGATCAAGACGTGTCAGGGGTCTTTTGTTCCTGATGTGAATTTAATGAGTGGAATGAAGGAAAAGTAAATAAAGATGAAGTGATGTCAGAAGGAGAAAAACTAAAGGAGTGCAAAGGAAAAAAGAGAGAAACCTGCAGAAGATTCAGACAGAACTGATCAAAACAGCTGATAAATATGAAGAGAAAAGACAAGAGACAATAAAGAGGCACCGAGGGGAAAAGAGAGAGTAGAGATCAGCAGGGCTTCATTATCAGGTCTGAACATAAAGTGAAAGATGGAAACTCTGTGACCCTGATTCAGCTGTGACTCTACCTGTTCTCCTCAGAACGCTGCTCCCATAGTTCACAAACTTCTTCAGCCACTCAGGACAGATCTGGTTGTAGTAGTTCTTCTCCTGTTCTATAAAAGCTCTGTTGTGTTCCAACTTTTGTTTGGTTGTGAAAGCTTCTGGTTTTGGAGCGATCCATTCCTCATGCTTCAGATCCAGTGCGAAGAAGTCTTCTCCATCATAACTGTACTGGTCATAACCTCTGACCTTTCCGGTGTCTTCATCCCACTCACAGCCGTACATGTTCTGGAAAATATGAACCCCTGAGAGAAACAGAGAGATTACAGTAAACCAAACAGAACCCTGAACACAGAGACTTGATGATAGTTGATGTCAGCTTTAAAACAGAGCAAACAAAAGATGAAAGACTTCAGTCTGAGAACAGCTGGCTGCTTCATCTGACATTCTCTGAATGAAGCATTTTTATCGACGAACGGGCTGATCTGTTAACCTGAGAGGATTTCTCCTCTATGAGGCGTCTCCTGTTCAGAGCCAGCCAGATTCATTAAAACCCTCCTGTTAGATGAACCCATCAGACTCAGCCTGGGTCTCATTTATGGCTCTGATCTGCTGTTTAAGAAACAAATCACTGATATTCATCTATTAGCTGTTAGACTGACACGCAAATCTGCCACTACAAGGATTAACTACGAGGTTATTCTGAGAAAACTCACCTTTCCTGATTTAATCAAGTAGACTTAAAGGTTTCCAGTTCAGGTTTATTGTCTGTTTAAAAAAATAAATAAATCAGATTTGCTCCTCTGGAGAATAGAAACAGCTCCGTCTATTAGGACAAAGTTTATCTGATCAGAATTTGTCGACACATTGTGGATTATTTGATCCAATTTATAAATAATGTTTGGTTAAAATGCTTTTATGACTGTTTTAATGTAAGACTTAAACAAACTACTGGAAAACTAAATTAAAGCCTCAGGATGCATTTGTAAACTGATTATTTCTTTCAAACAGCAAAAAACAGTTTTTTATTTTAATTTTAACCAGATTAAATTGAGAAAAATATTCATAAGCCGGAAACAGAAACCAAAAAACGTTTGTGTGACTGAAAGGTTTCAGGATCACCTGACTGAGCACATTTCTCCTCTTTTTACTCAGTAAGGCACCGACTGATGGTTTTAGCTCTGTTTGTTCTTTACTCTGCTGGCACTCAGCAGCTAAATGAAGTCAGACGAGTCAAGCCGCGTCTCTATCAGAGGAGCAAAGTGGGAGCAACAGACATCATGAAGCCGCTGGAGTTTAATCTGAGCTCCTAAAACTGAGAAGAATCTCAAACATATTCAGGCCTGATGAATTTTGCTGAAACTCTGTTGTCCAAAGTCAGATGTACCTGATAACAGCAGGCAAAAGACTACACCACAATAATTTAAACTAATTGTATATTACTGATGATTAAAAAATTACTTCTGTTTTTTTTTTCTTCAAATTTTGTTAAAGGGACAAATTCAGACTTCAGACTATTTTTTTCTTGGATTTGGCTAAAGGGTTGATGGAGACATGAACAGTAACACACACTCAAATAAAGCCTCTGAGGGAAATGCTGGATATTCTAAATGAGCAACACACTAAAGGGTCAGACACTGATATCTTTAAAGAAAAAAAAAACAGGAAAATGTACAAAATAGAAGAGATAGTCATATCTTAACAGCTTCTCACATGAAATAGTTAATTACTAAACTGCTCTTTTACATTTGGTTAGTCATCTAATCAAATCATTTAAAGTTTCAGTTTTAGAAAACGTAATCTCCGCAAGGTAGAAAAAGTGTTTGTTTTTTTTCTATTCTTGTTTGTAGTTTTACTAAAATAATATGTTTTAAATTTTGTTCTAGGTCTTATATCCATTTCAATCTAAGGACACATTTTCCAAAATATCATAAAGAAATGTATTTGCCAGGACAAGAAAATAGTGTTGAAAACCTTTAGGGAATTCATTCTGAAACGTGTTTTTTTATTGTTTTAAAAAAGAGGTGCAACTCAGAAGTTTAAGAGAAACTTCTTGTGAGAAAATAAAATCACTAAACCATCATAAATGAGAAGTTTGTACAAAAAACAGCAGAAAAAACAAACAGTGGAACACAAACTAACCTCCAGTTTGGTTGAAGCGCTTCTTTAAAATGTCAATGTTGGCTTTGAAGCTCTGCTGGGCACCCAAAGCCAGATCAGTCTCTGTGTCCCAGTATGTCTGATCTGCGTTCTTCTCCATCCAGTCCTGTTTGGGCTCTGTTCTCTTGGTGTTGCTGTCGTAATAAACTATCTGAACATCATCAACCAGACCAACAGTCACAAACTCTGGGAAGTTTGGGACTTGTGAGGACGCCGTGTAGAAATACTTCAGAGAATGAGTCACTGTGAAAAAAGCAGAAAAAAACAGATTTAAGTCAGAATTTCACTGAAAGATCAGTAACTATTACTTTGAGCACAGACTCAAAGTGAAATACAAAATAAGAAAATATATTACAATGAGAATAATAATACAACACTACTCTTTGTCAAAATGTGAATTCAAATAAATTTAGACATAAACTAAATTAACTGAAGCCCTGAAAGGAAATTTCTTTATACTGTGGAAATATTTTGGGCAATTTATCAGTGCTGTTAATGTAAATATTATTATTCAAACAGAATGTCTAAAATGATCATTTTCAGTAATTAATCACATTTAAAAAACCCAACAGATTGGAGTTTTCCAGTTTTCCATTTCACCTTCTATTTTTCTGGTGACCTGAATTTAGTCAGATTATGAAGAAACTTTGGAGCATTTCACCGATATAATATATATTATAACAAGTAGATTTATTCTCAGGGAAAAAATAATAGAAACATGAAAAACAAATGGCTAACTCCATCAATATCCATTAAAGAAAATGAAAATTTTTCTAAATTTCGATCAACCAATCCATTTGACTTTATCGTCATTGACCTGCGTCCCGTACAATGTAATCACTTTTCTTTACAACCCGTCCAAGTTCAGGCAAAAACAACAAACAACATAAACACTCAGGAATCGGGAAGACTCCCCACAGGCTCTGAGATATGACAGCAGGATAAAAAGGAGGAGCAAAGAAACAAGTCTGCCCTTGCTGAGAGCCGGAAGAAGAATTTGAACTTGGGACAAATTATAACTTAATGTGCAGAACGTATTCATGTTTACATTTTCTAGAGAATTAGAGTATATGGATTTGTCTTTATCATCTTAATAATCTGCTCTGAATTTCAAAAGTAGAGATGGTTTGAAAATCTAAAGGATCTGTAAATATGCTTAAAATAACTCCTAACTCACCAGCCACCGCGCAGGGTAATCCAAGGACACAGAGAAGGATAAAACTCTTCATTTTTTCTTTAATTTGCTGAACATCATTCATTTGAGAGCTCCGCTCTCCACACAAACACCTTCGGTGCCTCAGAAGCGGAATCTAAACTGAATAGGAGGAGATTTAACGTCAGACTCTGTCTGAACCAATAAGAATTCACGATAGCAGAAGCGTCAGTGGAATCCGGGTCGAACTGACAGAATTGGGTTTCATTAACGAAAGTGAAAGTAAAATCCTCCATTTCCCCCATTTGTAACCTGAGACTCAAAGGTTTCATCTGGAGTTTCTGATGCTAACCGTGGTTAAAATTACAGAAACATTTAATTTAAGCTTCTTTTAACTTCTTTGGGATGTCTGTTTTCAGATGGAGGATGCAAAGTAAATACATGCTGTTTTCTAAGAGCTCATTGGTCTCTTTTGACTAAAGCTGTCATGACCACATGTCCAGGCAACAGAGAACCCAAAAGCATGACCACGAGGCAGGCAAGTAGAGAGGGAAGATCAGTTTACTTTGTCCAAAAACAGGCAGGGTCAAAACCAGGAGATCAGTTGCATAGGCAAACAAATCCGAAAAACGGCAGGCAGGAATCCAAGGTCTTAGTAGGCAAAACGTGAGGTCAGAACAAGAAGGCAGAACAGGGGAATGTGGGAAAGCTTGGCACGGAGAAACACAAGACAATCTAGCTGGGATCAAGTGGAAATGGAGTGGTATAAATACTGAAGACCAAATGAGCTAATGAACGGCAGGTGAGGAGATGAGCGGAGAGAACCAGGTGAGGGGGAAAGAGTGATTGCATGGCAGGGGAGGGCCGGATCTGAAATTACATGAGGATTAGTGACCAAAAAAACAACAATGAATTTAGTCCTAGACTAACTATGTTACAAAAGCTGAACCCAATGGGGTTTATAGGGGTCTGATAAAGTCCTCTTTGTGTTTCTGATGGCAGCTGATGTGCAGATTGAAACTAACTAACTAACTAACTAACTAACTAACTAACTAACTAACTAACTAACTAACTAACTAACTAACTAACTAACTAAC